AACGGCACAAGAACACGCTCCAGACGTCCGTCGGGGATCGACTGACCTGGGTCAGTCCAGACCCGTGTCAGTCAGGCCTTGCAAGATCTTGCTGGATCCTGCTGGATCCTGCAGGATCCTGCACCCAAGCCCGGGTCAGTGCACCCCTGGCCCTGCAGAATCCTGCAAGATCCAGCGCTCTGGCTGACACCCGCTTGCACTGACCCCCGTCTCTTGAGCCCCGAGCCCGTGGGTCTTCGCTGGCGCTGGGTTCACCCGCTCCAGAGCGCGAGGCGTGCATAAGAGGGGCAGGAAAGGGGCCCAGCGCCAGCGGAAATCGGCCGCCCACGAACGTCCGAAGGTTCTGTGTTCGCGTGCCCTTTCTTGCCTCCGAAGATCGCCTGCACCCTGAGCGACGTTGAAATGTCCAGAAGAGAAAGACGGCTCGCTTCTACAACGGAGAATCAAAATGGAGGCCGCCCGCCTGGGGATGGGGTCGGTGGACCGCGCAGCATCGCCGATGCACCACCGATGCATCGGCGACGACGGCGGGGAGAAAAACTGGCTCCACACCGAGCCGCACCGCCGATACATCGGTGATGCGGCGCGATCCTCCGACCCCACCCGTCGGGGGCGTCGTCCAATAGGGGGGCGTCCAAGAAGGGGGTGTTTGCACATCGTGGCCCGCGGCATGTGCGCGCACGAGGGGGGAGCCACGGGACATACCGAAACAAGAGGAGGCGCCACGAAATCTGGAAAGACCTCCCTCTTTGGCCGCCCCCTACTCTACCCGAATACATTGTCGGAGATCCCGACATTGAACAAAAAATTCTAGAGGTGGCACCTGCCACGCTGTCTCCTCCTCCTCCTCCTCCTCATCCTCCTTCTCCTCCTCCTCCTCCTCCTCCTCCTCCTCCTCTTATTATTGTTCTTAGTTTTCTTCTTATGTTTCTTCTTCCTTGTCCTCCTCCTCCTCCTCCTTCTCCTCCCTTCCCCCTCCCCCCCTCCCCTCCCCCTTCCCCCCTCTCCTCCTCCCTCCTCCTCCTCCTCCTCCTCCTTCCTCCTCCTCCTCCTCCTCCTCCTCCTCCTCTCCTCCTCTCCTCCTCTCCTCCTCCTTCCTCCTCCTCCTCCTCCCTCCTCCTCCTCCTCTCTCCTCCTCCTCCTCCTCCTCCTCCTCTCCTCCTCCTCCCCCTTCTCTCTCTCCTGTTTCTGTCTCTTCCTCTCTCTCTCTCTCTCTCTCTTTTTCTCTCTCTCTCTTCTCTCTCTCTTTCTCCTCTCTCTCTCTTCTCTCTCTCTCTCTCTCTCTCTCTCTCTCTCTCTCTCTCTCTCTCTCTCTCTCTCTCTCTCTCTCTCTCTCTATATATATATATATACAGATCTTCTCCCCCTCCTCATCACTGTACACAGGATCCTCTCCTCACCAGACCTCCTCCTCCTCTTCCTCCTCTTCCTCCTCCTCCTCATCATCATCTTAATCATCAGCAGCATCCGCAGAATCATCATCAGCAGCATCATCACCATCAGCAGCAGCAGCAGCATCAGCGGCATGATCATCAGCATCATCAGCATCAGCATCATCATCGGCAACATCATCATCAGCAGCAGCATCATCATCAGCTGCGGCACCATCATCATCAGCACCAGCAGCAGCAATCCTCATCCTCCATAAAGATACAACCTCCTCTCTGATGCAACGCAAAGTGGGTCAGGCATTTCATTCGAGATGCACTCACAACCTACGACCCAGGAGCTTTGAATCTCCGACGGCTATACGGATAGAGCACAGGTCATGTTTAAAATGGTGTTCTCGCCTTGGCGCCGCGCACTGCACGCTCGTCTTTCACAAATCCACAAGTTGCAAGGATGCAGGGGGAGGGGGAGGAGGAGGAGAAGGAGGAAGAGGAGGAGGAGGAGGAAGAGGATGAGGAGGAGGAAGCGAGGGGGAGGGGCGGAGAGGAGGAGGAAAAGGAGGAGGAAGAAAAGGCGGAGGACGAGGAGACTGAGGCTGACGCATGCGTGCGCCGGGGCGAGCCCTGCGCGGGCTGCTGGTTGCCAAATTCTTAGCTGTAAATGATGGTGTTGTCTGTCCAACGTTTCCGCGGTCGGCCTGGCTCCCTGCGCCCGGCCGGGGCCCACACCAGCGCTGCCTCCGACCACCTGCCATCATTGCTGCCGACGGTCTTCTGCAGCAAGGCACCTTTACAAAGCTTCTGCAAGTGGACCCAGGTCTTGACACCCGCCTTCTCGAACTCACCTGCTGTTTTCCGGGTCGCGCGGCCAATTTACTCCACGTACGGCTCGTCCACACCGCCCGCAGAGACAGCTCTCATCGGTGGCGTCGCAATGACTTTCCGGAGCATCTTCCGCAATTCTGTCTCAAGCTTAGTTCTCATTTCCGCCGTCATGGTCTACGAGCCGCTCCCGTAGAGGACAGTTGAAGATTCCACAGCGTCGACAAGGCGAAGCCGGGACCGCAAAATACACAGCCTATTACACAAAACAGTTTTGAATTTGCCGAAGGCCCCGCATCCTTCAACGTTTCCGCCCACTGGCAGCACTTCAACCCTGCAAAATCCAATTTGCACGTGCAATGGCGCAAGGACCCCTCTCCGGTAAACAACGTTAGAAAGGACTTGTGTCTCCCCCATCTGTAACTTCGGCCCCGTTTCTCCGGCACGCGCTGTTAGGTCTTCCACGTGTGCCGCACCTGCGCACGAGTTGTTCCGATCAGCATAATGTCATCCGCACACTGGAGGTTCGCGAGACGTTCGCCCCCGAGTTTCACTCCGAAGCCTCCTCTCTCCCACTTCTCTTTGAGATCGCGCACAATTGATTCCAGCAGAGCATTGAACAGAGTGGGGCTCGTCGGATCCCCTTGCTTCGTTCCTCTGTCCAATCTGAAAACACGACTCGTACGATCAGACAGGATCTGCCCCGTCTGCCCCTCGCACAACTTGCGCAACGCTTGGATATAGGAGCCCGGCGCGCCTTGCTCACACAAAGACGCCAAGAGTGAGGCGTGGCTGACGGTGTCGAATGCCTCCTCTAAATCCACCGCAGCAACCCAGAGATCAAGTTGTGCTCGCGCGTTTCCTCGCGCAGCAAGACGAGCGTCAACAAGTGATCGTCGCAACTGCATCCCTTCCGAAACCCCGCTTGCACCAGCAACCCATGCAAGACCAAACTGAACAATTTGCACAACACCGGAACAATCGAGATAGGTCGATAGGTGCTTGGCAACTTGGGGTCGCCTTTGAGAAAAGCATTTCGATGCACGCGCCCCTCCACGTCTGCGGGGGCTCTTCCCTGTCGGTCAGAATACTCGTGAAGACGCGGGCAAGCACATCCAACAGATATTCGCCACCAACTTTGAAAATCTCTGCGACTATGCCAGCCGAGTCCGCCGCCTTGCCCTCTTTCAGTTTCTTCACCTGCGTTCCGACTTCTTCCGCCGCGACCGGCGGAATATCCGACAGCCCACCTCTAGGTGACGGCGCAATGCCCGCTGCCCCAGGGCAGTGCTTTCTGGAATACAAATCTTCATTAAAAGTCGCAAATGCGTCTGCGATGCCTTGTCTGTCCGAGACTTCAGCCCCCTCGATTTTTAAAACGCAAGTCAGCCGCTGCTTCTTAAACTTGCCCCCAATGTCATGTAGTCTCCCAATGGCAGAAAATTCCCGCAAGATAGCGTCGATCTTCTCTTGCTTGCGCTGCTGGTCCCAAGTTCTTCATTATTTCTTCAAGTCTTTGCTGATACATTTGAGTGGCCTGTGCCCCTAGCCCCCTTTCTGTGCTGCTCGTCTCTCAATCCACAACTGTCGAATCTGCAAGGGCAGATATGTCCACTGTGTTTTCTTGGTCGCGCAGTTGGCTGTGCACTTCTCTGTAGCTGACGACATTGCGGACTCAATGCGATTGCAAAGCTCCGCGGCCAACACCGTGCCACAGGGCTCGCCCAACTCGCACGTCGCTTTCAATTCCTCCTTCAACGTAGCATCAAAATCGGGATGTTCATTGAAACTGCGTTTGCCCCTACGTTTGGCCGGCTCTCGTTGGTCCCCCCCGGGCCAGGGCAGTCGCAAGGTAAGTTTTACTCCTCGATTGTCAATTCCCACCACGATGTCTGGTATAGCTGCAGAGTACGATACGTGCGTGCTAATCTCTGCGTCCGCACAGAAAACATCGATGTGCCGATGCCTTCTTCCATCATAATGCGCCCAGTTGCCGCAAGATGGGCTGGGAAACTGTGCGTTTGCAATTGACAACGTCTCCTCGGCGACCCACGCGTTGTCCACCAGGTCACTGATTGCTCCTACAGAAGCATTGAAATCACCACCAACAACCAAAGCCGGACGTCTTGACATTGTCTCTTTTTTACTTGACGGCATTGCAGCGCACACCGCCTCGGCTTCGTTTGGTATATACACCGAAAACGCTCGCACATTACGCATGTTAATGTTCATGTCAACCCAGCACAATCTGTCCGAACGAGCTGTGGAACAAAGTATGTGACCCTTCCAGCGGCTACGCAGGATAATAGCAACACCGTTGGGATGCTTGCAACCTCCAGAGCCCATGAAAACATGCCCCTGTTATGTTTGAAATTGCTCCTCTGTCTCATCCCTCCATGTCTCGCTTAACAATACCGTGTCCAATTTTCTGAAATGCGAAAACTCCAAAAATAAGTCTTGCAGTCTTTCCTCTGTTCTCACTGATTGCACGTTTTTGCGAACCGTTGTAAATGACGACGTTTTGTCGCAATCATCACTCTCCGGCCCTTGCCTCTGGGTGTTGTTTGCTTCATTGCAAGACTGCGGCTGATGGCGTAAAGCTGCCGCGATGCTCGCGGGCAGGCCGCCGGCTGCATTGGCATATTTACCCCTCCCTCCCCCTGTGCTCCACAAATGCTTTATACAAGGCCAGTCCGTAGCAATGTTACCTGCAAGCGCTGTGTGGGTCCTTCTGGGTGCCCATGTTTTCCTACTCCGGGTACTCCGGTTCCAATCCTATCACTTGCTATCCGGGCTCCGGCTGCCCCTCCCATCCTCCATGAATTCCTCGGTCGCGCGATGCACCGCGAGACCCGCGCCCTTGTACTTCATGGTGCCGTTATCCATCCATGCTACTGTTTTTCCCTGGAGCTCCACCGCCTGCCCTTTCCACTTGATGTTGATATCCTTCAGGTCATGCCCATCGTTTTCGTGCAACCTCCCCTTGTCATGCCCCAAATGCTTGTCCAAGTCCAGTTTCTCGAAAGTGTCGTTGCATGTGAACTTAATTGTGTCACTGTTCTCCCACTGCGCGCCCATGCTGTTGATCTTGTTCAAGAAGCCGAACTTGGCCGCAGTAGACCGGAATTGCGCATTGCACAACACCGATTCTCGACGGATCCGTAAACGTAGTGATGTTTGTGCACTTCCCCTCCGAACCTGCGCTCCTGACGACCTCCCGCACCTGCTTAATGGTGCCCTCCTGCTCCTCCTCATCCTTCAAGCCCCCCGCGATAACCTGTAAGTCCCTCGACTCCTCGTCACTGTCGTTCTGGGCTACTTCCTGCGGTTGCTGCTGCACGTAGTGCGCCTCCATCTCCTGCTTGACCTTTCCGTTGACCACCTCCTCCACAATGTTCCTCACCTTATGCTCTGCGACCGCATCCTCAATGTCGACAGGTTAGTAAGATCCGCCTCCAGATCATCCACTTGATCCTTGAGATTCGTGGTCATGACCTTCGCCTCCTCCGCCTCCTGCCGCACCTCTTGAACCAGCGTTTTGAGCTTACTCATTTTCTTCGTGACTTGTTCGAACCGTTTTTCCTGCCTCTCCTCAAACTTACGAAACCATTCAGGCGCACTTGCATCCACCACTGCAACTGCCCCTTTGCCCTCTGACTCGCTCGATGTATCCTCGATGGCATCGCGTGCCCGACGTCGCGGCGGCGTATCCACCATGCCGCTGGCTGGATGCTTGCCGTGCGGCATCTGACAGCAAAAGCCTGTAAGACAAAATCTTGCCGATTGGGCGCTTGCTCGTGAGCCAAAATGTCCTCCTCCTCCTCCTCCTCCTCCTCCTCCTCCTCCTCCTCCTCCCTCTTTCTTTCACTCTCTCTCTCTCTCTCTCTCTCTCTCTCTCTCTCTCTCTCTCTCTCTATATATATATATATACTAGAACCATCGCGCGCGCTTCGCGCGCGCTCAAGTTCTAGCCAGGATCCTCACCATCGTCATCATCGCAATCATCACCATCGTAGTCATCGTCATGGTCGTGTTCACCATTACCATCACCAGCACAACCATCATCATCACCACCATCATCGTCAGCATCGTCAGCACCATCGTCATCATCGTCGTCGTCATCGTTGTCCTCACTATCATCGTCGTCGTCATCATCATCAGCATCATCATCGTCAGCATCAGCATCAGCATCATCATCATCATCATCATCTTCGTCGGCGCCGTCGTTGTGCTCGTCATCCTCATCATCAGCGTCGTCGCCGTCATCATCATCGGTCTACTCCAGTCTTCCAGCAGCCCCCATCCTCTCAAAGCTAACATGTGCACGCGTGCACGTAACCACCAATGGCAGGAGCATGAACTGGAGAGGTAACAATGGCGCAGACCGAACAGGGCCGTAGTACACACGAGGGCGCACACAGACGTATCGAATGCAACGCCATGCAGACCAATGCGAGTAGTAAAACAAACGCCAAACGTTGCAAATGCAGCGCGATTCACAGCATTATTGTTGAATTGAAATGCAATGCACATGCTACTCAATGCAGGCAGCTCAACGGAACGGATCGGAAGGAAGAAGGGGTGCATATGAAAGTGTCCGAAATCGCATGGGGCTCGTTTCGGTGCCTGCTCGGGGGCTCTTGGGGGCCTCCCGGGGGGCTCTTGGGGGCCTTTGGGAGCCTCTAGTGGTTTCTGGGGATGCTCTTGGGGCCGAGGGCCCGTAAAGTGCGCTCGGATCCCGCGTCTGGGCCCCTTCTTGGAGCCGTGTTGGGACTCTCTTGGGCCGTCTTCGAGGCCTCTTAAGCGGTCCCGGGGCGCTCTTGGGCCGTCTTGGGGCCGTCTTGGTGGCCTCTTGGGCCGTCTTGGGGCGATCTTGGGTGCCTCTTGGCCGTCTTGGAGCGCCAGGGAGCCCAAAAGGAGAGAAAGCCAAAAACATCGAAAAACACAATGGAAAATCAACGATTCGAGCCTCTTGGGGCCCTCTTGGAGAGCCTCTTGGAGGCCTCTTGGGGCGTCTTGGAGGCCCCTTGGGCCGTCTTGGGACCATCTTGGGCGTCTTGGAGCGATCTGGGACCGCCTCGGGGCCCTCTTGGACCATCCTGGGGGCCTCCTGGGGCCGTCTTGGAGGCCTCTTGGGTCGTCTGGAGGCTCCTTGGAGGCTCCTTGGAGGCCCCGGGGAGGGGGTATTAAAAAGCGTTCCCCGATGGTTGCGGAGTGGGCGGCCCCGCCGGGGGAGGGGGGGGCCTATTTGTTTATATTATATATATGTGTGTATGTGTATATATATATCTCTCTCTCTCTCTCTCTCTCTCTCTCTTCTCCCCCTCCTCAGTTCTATACACAGAATCCCTTCTCCTCAACAGACCTCCTCCTCCTCCTTCTCCTCCTCCTCCTCATCATCATCATCATCATCATCATCAGCAGCATCATCAGCATCAGCATCAGCATCAGCATCAGCATCAGCATATCATCATCATCATCATCATCATCATCATCATCATCATCATCATCATCATCATCATCATCATCATCATCATCATCATCCACCTCCTCATCATCATCATCATCATCATCATCATCATCATCATCATCCTCTTCATCATCAGCAGCATCAGCAGCATCATCATCAATAGCAACAGCATCATCAGCAGCAGCATCAGCATCATCAGCATCCGCATCATCATCATCAGCATCATCATCATCATCATCATCATCATCATCATCATCATCATCATCATCATCATCATCATCCTCTTCATCATCATCATCATCGGCAGCATCATCATCAGCAGCAGTAGCAGCGGCATCATCATCAGCATCAGCAGCAGCAGCAGCAATCCTCATCCTCCTCCATACAGATATAACCTCCTCTCTGCTGCAACGCGAAGTGGGCCAGGCATCTCATCCGAGATGCACTCACAACCTACGACCCCGGAGCTTGGAATCTCCGACGGCTATACGTATAGAGCACAGGTCATGTTTAAAATGGTGTTCTCGGCTTGGCGCGGCACACACTCGTCTTTCACAAATCCACCAGTTGCAAGGATGCAGGGGGAGGAGGAGAAGGAGGAGGAGGAAGAGGAGGAGGAGGAGGAAGCGAGGGGGAGGGGGGGAGAGGAGAAGGAGGAGAAGGAGGAGGAAGAAAAGGAGGAGGAGGAGGAGGAGGAAAAGGAGGAGGAGAAGGAGGAGGGGCTGGTGTTCAGAGTGGCGTCTTCGCCTCAGCGTCCCGCACATTCGCCTCAGAAAGCTACTAACATGGGGCTCTCGTCCTGGCGACACACCCAAATCATTCCTCCACGCAGGGTGACTGTTTATATGTACGCTCCTTACAAGATAACACATTGCGAGATGTGCAGCACCCTGGAAATGTTCGCCTAGCATTGTCGGGCCACGCACGTCGCACACCTGCGCAGGATTGGTCCACTGAGGGCACCGGCATGCGCTACGTGACGTTGCCGCGCTCTGCGCTCTGTGATGCAACATCGCCGAACGGCCAATAACGCGACGCCGCCACGCGCCACGTGGGCACGCGCCATGTGGGCGCCCTGCACTCCGCCGTGCCTGCTTGGAGCCAATGTAAGTGGCGAGGGTTGCACCGTTCGCAGCCACCAAGGGAGCCGCGAGGTCTCCATCGATCTGCGCTGCCCTCGCCTCCGCCGCGCCTCCCAGGAGCCCAGGAAGCTGGCGACAGTTGTTCGGGGGCGCGCAGACATGGACTAGCGATCCATGGATTTGTCGTGCGGTCGCCGAATCCATGGATCTGGTGCCGCCTCGCTCGTCGGCGGAAATCCGCGATTCCCCATGGAAACGGGACCCGTCGTCAATCCACGCCCCCTTGAACCATGTTTGCGATCGCCTGAGTTGTGCTGTTCGCAGGGGCTGGGGCCGCGCATTGAAGAAGGCACGTCGTCGGGTGTCTGCGTGCATGCGAGATGCCCCCCCCAGTTCCCGAGGCCGCCCTCACGCCACAGCCTCTCGCGTAACGCGGCCTCTCGACATGCATTTTGAACTCACGTTTGTTCCTGACTCTGGCAGGCGCTTGGTGCACTCGTGAGGGGCAGCGATTTAGGGACACCCGCTCAGGGAGGAAAACATCGACCTGCAATCGGCGATACATCGACGATAGATTAGCGACAGGCCCCCGATCGCAAAACCACATGCTCCTGGGCGGGGTGGGGCTATCAGACCCCTATCAGCGATCAGTGGGCGATTGGGGTCGATGCACTCCCCCTGCGCCTGCGTCCCCCTATCCTTGCCCCTGGTGCATCCAAGAATCCTATCGGCTGCACGCCGTCGCTGTTCCTGGTCAGGCCACCTCCCGGGGCCTGGCCTGGCATGGGGCAAACACCCAGCCCGCCACGCCAGGGGAGCACACGCACCGATCCTGTGGGCTCAGGGCGCGCTTGCCCAACGCCCGGCCCAGGCGCCCGTCCTGAGCTCCTCGAGGCCTGGCAGATTTGGCCCTCCACTCCGCTGGACCTCCCAGGAGCTCACGAAAGTCCTGCCATCGCTCGGGCGCCCATTTCCCGTGCCTGTTTCGGCTTCGTGCGTGCATGCTCTGTTGCCAAATGATCCAAGATGCTCCTCGATGGCCCCCGCCGGGAAACGATGCACAAGTTCGAGAGATGGCGAGGAGTGGCGACGGTTGTACAGTTCGCCGCCACCCAGGGAGCCGCGAGATCCCGTCTGAATGAATGTGCGTACACCTACTCTCTGGTGGACCGCCCAGCAGCCCACCAAACGGGCGACAATTGCACGGTTCACAGCCACCCAGGGAGCCGCGAGGTCTCGTCTACATGCGCGTACACCTCCACTCCGCTGGACCTCCCCGAAGCCCACGAAAGTGACCACAACTGCGCAGATCGCAGCCACCCATGCAGCAGCGAGATCTCGTCTGGGTCCGCGTGGCCCACGACTCCGCTGGACCTCCCAGGAGCCCAGGAAAGTGGCGACGGTTGCGCAGTTCGCGGCCACACAGAGAGCAGCGAGATCTCGGCTGGGTCCGCGTGGCCCCCGACTCCGCTGGACCTCCCAAGAGCCCAGGAAAATGACGACGGTTGCGCAGTTCGCGGCCACCCAGGGAGCAGCGAGGTCTCGGCTTGGTCCGCGTGGCCCCCGACTCGGCTGGACCTCCCAGGAGCCCTCGAAAGTGACGATAGCTGCGCAGATCGCAGCCACCCATGCAGCAGCGAAGTCTCGTCTGGGTCGGCGTGTCCCTCAATTCCGCTGGACTGGGAGCAGCACAGGAGGAGGCGGGAGGAGGGGAGAGGAGGAGAAGTCGAAACCACAGTGCTCTATTCAAAATGAGAACCCAACACTGGAGAGTTGTGTAAAAACATACAGTGGGGGCTCGGCCACAAGAAACCTCCGCACGAGACCTAACCCTGAAGTCCGCGATTTGTGCAGTGGAAATCAAAATTGTCGATCGAAAATCGTCCAAATCTTTTTGGGGGCCCATCGAAATCCAAGAAACCCGGGGCACCCTGGCAAAATCCAACTGGTTTCTTGGCACGCGCCCCCACTGTACACGGATGAGGGCGGCTCGCTTTCAGTGGGACTCCCATGTGAGGCTTTCTCTAATCTTATGACCAGAAGTCCAGATTGTGGAACAGATACACAAATGATTCCTCCTCCTCCTCCTGCTCCCCCTCCCCCCCCGCCTCCTGCCCGTCCCCCGTGTTTCCTCCTCCATCTCTTCCCCCTCTTCCTGCCCCCACCTCATGCCAAACCCCCCTCCTCCTGCAACCCATTTATCCTGCCCCCCTCCTCCTCCTCCTCTCCCTCACCCTCACCCTCACCCTCCTCCTCCTCCTCCTGCTCCTCCTCCTCCCCCTCCTCTTCCTCCTCCTCTTCTTATTATTATTACTATTATTATTCTTATTATTATTATTATGATTGTTTTTCTTCCTCCTCCTCCTCCTCCTTCTTCCTTCTCCCCAGGCGCATAACTATAATAACTGCAGGCTCACGTCCGCGGTGCACCGGGCCAGGCGTGCTGGAAGCCACGGCCCCGGTAGAAGGCCACGTCCGCATGGCTCCGGGCGAGCTCGCGCTCCAGCTGCAGGCAGGTGTCCTGCCGGCGCGCGCACAAGCGGGGTGGAACCCAAGTCCTCCGTTGACAGATGTCCCGGACGTTTCCGGAAGATGTCGTTGGCTATTGGAGGTCTGCGGGCCCCGCAGTGCTCTCCATCAGCGGCACCTCGTTGAGGGGCGTTCCCCGATGCCTCTTCGACGGCTTTCACGCCTCGGGCTGCCTCTCATAAGGCGAAGCCAGGACGAAGAAAAATTCGGATGAGGATACATCGGGAGTCTCTGAGATCCGGCGGCTCTGGAGGATGTCTCGGGCGCCGCGGCTTTCTCAGAGCGATCCGGAACGCTCTGGGAGCCTTCTGGAACGCTCTGGAACGGAGTTAGCCTCGTCCCAGCCCCGTCCGATGCCAGCAAAGGCGCCTCGCCGAGGGCGCTCCGGAGGTGCACGCACCGTCCCGAACGGCCGCGGGAGGCCCGAACTGCGGTACCCGGGCAAGAAGTAGCCACACCCATGGCGGTAAGGCGATGCAACATGGTAACAAGACCACGGCTGCGAAATGCCATTGCTCCGCAGCCCTCCCCCCCAAACCCAGAGTTGAGCTGTCCACATCTCGGCCTCTGGCCCCTTGCCTCTGGCCCAAGCACGTCAACTCTGAATCTGGATTAAGGGGGGTATACGTTTTGGTCCGACGTGCTTTGACAACTCAAGGTCTTGGCGAGACAAGTCTGGACACTTTTATCGGGCGTTGGCTGAACTGGGTTTAGTGGGACCTGGTTTAGTGACGTGCACTGGGGGACGACGCCCCACCCGCCCCGTTCCACTGACCGGAACTGCCGTCACCCGAAAAAACACCAGCCACTGCAGGCCTGGCTTAGTGAGTCTGGCCCGTCTAAGGGCTCCGGGGCCCTACTGCTAACCGGGCCCCCTTACCTGGGGTCCTGGCTACGATTTTAGTCCACCCGCCGTGTGGTCCGAGAGCCGCCCTCTGGCGGCGGCGCACCAGGGGGGGGGGGGCGCGACGCGCGACGGAGGGAGGCCTTTTCTGGGGAGCCAGGAGGGCTCTGTGAAGGGGCCCTGGGACACACAAACAAATACACACACAAATCCCAGGATTCCCCATGTTTTTCCATATTTTCTGGATTTTCGTCTTCCCCCCCCACTTCCCATATTTTTCCACGTTTTCCTGGGAGTCGACGATTAATTGTGTCTGTGTTTTTGTCGCCTCCACAGCTTCTGAGAGGGCCGGAGGCTTCGTCGAAGCCCTCCAGCCTTCGAGTAGGTGATCGACTTCAGAATGGACGCACCCCTAACTTGATTCCTTCGTCGACGCTACAGAAACGACGCAGCATGTCTCATGGATTCGGCAGAGAGGGAACCAATTTTGGGGGTAGATCGATTCAGTAGTCGATCCCCTACTCGAAGCCTTCTGAAAGGGCTTCTCGGGGGCGCACGCCTCTGACGGTGACGGTGCCCGCAAGAACGTCCACGCGAGGGGACTCAGCGGGGCGGGGCCACAGCGCCTGGAAAAGCAACCAATCTGAAGCGGCCGGCAAGGGCATCGCGCATCGTGGCTAGCAGGCTCTTTCATGATGCACAGAACTACCGTCCAAATCTGTAGTAAGGGCGCGCTGAAAGGACGCAAGACCCTTGGACGGTCCTTGGACGCCCCAGTTGAAGCTTTTCTAGCGGCGCGCTGCCGAACAAATCGAAGGACGCAAGGGTGCCCTTGGGAAAGTAAGCCCATCCTTATCATGGATTTTCACTGTATGCTCCAGCTCACTCGCCTCTGGTGTTCTGGCCATGTCGACGTGCGCATCTGCTCTGGTGTGTGCCACTCTGCCTTCTGAGAGCCCCCCGCCTTCTCCACGGCGCCGCGGGGACCCCGACCCGAGGGGCGAGGAACCCGGTGCTCGTGGGGGGCCCGTCGGGGCCTCCTGGGGCGCCTGGTTGGCGGCGCGCACAGGGCGCGGACGTGAGCGTGCGGGTCTGGGACCAAATCGGACTCGGCACGAGGTACAAGCTCGCAGCCCTGCGCGCGGACTCGTGGATCGGCGCTGCAGGCGCCGCCCGGGGTGCACAGCGCAGTCCAAGAACCCCGCGCTGACCTCCGAAAGTCGATATGTTCGTGCCGATTATCTGCCTTCGAGCGTCGCTCGTGATGCTGGCGGCGCGCACAGAGGGGTAGGGGGAGGGGGGAAGGCTGCTTAGAAGAAGGCTGTCTTTCAGGAGGCGCTGGCCCTGCATCTATCGACAAGTCTGAGTTTGCGTCGGATCAGGCGGCACCTTCATGGAGTCGAAAGGGAACCGGATCGCCTGAGGCTGCGCCAGGTTGCACCACAGCGCCATGCAAGCGTGGCGCCGCGTCGGATGAGCGGGACATCAGACCCGAATCGAATCGGGCCGGCCAGGTTAAATATCGACGCTGATCCATCGGATCAAAGTGGATCCTGACACCAGTAGAAGGCTTTCGCCTTCAAAGGTGAGGGCCCAGGTCTGTGGCGTCACGACGATGACTACCACCTACCAGACCACCCCAACCCAACCCGAAGACCCGCACTCGACCCGCATTTCGGGTGGGGGGGGGTACGGGTTCCATGTGGCTCTCCAGTGTTCCCCGACCCCCCCCCCCACCGGGAATGGAGGGCAAAGTGAGGCCTTCGGGCCGTGTTGGGGCGGCGTGGTGGGTGGCGTCACGACACATCGAGGCGGGCAGCTGCTCCAAGCCCTGGGCCTCCAGAGGCCGCCTCCGAGTCCCGTCGGGGATCTTCTGACCCGGGTCATTCCAGACCCGGGTCAGCAGGAAACCAAAAACTGAAATGCAGTAAAAAAAACTGCAACGCAGGTCTTCGCAAACCCGGGTCAGCCAATATGCTCGGCCGCCTCGCGGCCACGAGCGGCTCGCTAACCCGGGTCAGCCAGAGGGGGTCTTCGCAAGATCCTGCAGGATCCGGTGCCCTGGCTGACCCCCGTTTGCATTGACCCCCGTCTCTTGAGCCCCGACCACGGAGCCTGCAGGCGAGACGGGTGGGAAGGAGTCGACAGCAGGGGTGGGGGAGGCCCGTCGGGGCCTCTCGAAGGACTCCTCGAGGCCTCGCGGGTGCCCCTGCGGGCGTCTTGGGGGCCTCTTGGGGTCTCTTCGGGCGTCCTCGCGGCGCGTCTCGAGGGGCATCCTGGGGGATCATGCGGCAGCCTCGGAAGCCTGGAGGCGAGACCGGCGGGAAGGAGTCGACAGCAGCGGGGGGAGGCCCGTCGGGGTCCTCCTCCTCCTCCTCCTCCTCCTCCTCCTCCTCCTCCTCCTCCTCCTCCTCCTCCGCCGCCTCCGCCTCCGCCTCCGCCTCCGCCTCCGCCTCCGCCTCCGCCTCCGCCGCCGCCTCCGCCTCCGCCTCCGCCTCCGCCTCCGCCTCCGCCTCCGCCTCCGCCCGCCTCCGCCTCCGCCTCCGCCTCCGCCTCCGCCTCCGCCTCCGCCTCCGCCTCCGCCTCCGCCTCCGCCTCCGCCTCCGCCTCCGCCTCCGCCTCCGCCTCCGCCTCCGCCTCCCTCCGCCTCCGCCTCCGCCTCCTCCTCCGTCCCTCCTCCTCCTCCTCCTCCTCCTCCTCCTCCTCCTCCCAAGATGCTCCCAAATGCTTCCAAAGGAACTCCAAGAAACCCCAAGAGGCTCCAACAGAAACCCAAGAGGCCCCCAAGAAACCCCCAACGAGGACCCCAAAAGGCCCCCAAAAGCCCAAACGCCAGCGAGGGCACAATACGGGCCGGCAGAATGAGCGAAGCGATTAAATAATTCCTGAACCAATTAATGCTGCACTCTAGGGAAAAGTTTTGTATAGTAATGACTTGTGTTCCTGAGAAGCCTCGTCGGGGATCCTTGGAAGTCTCGTGGGCCATCGTGGAGGCCTATTTGGCCGTCTCGCAGCCGTCTCGGTCCGTCTTTCTTGGCGCCCTGTATGCAGTTCTGAAGGCATATTGAGCTGTCTTGAAGAAGGCATGTTGAGGGACGAGACCGCGGAAATCGGCAAATTTTCTTGGGGGGGTCGGCCGGTCGGCCGGTCGGGCAGAATATCCCCTTAGGGGGATCACACGGGTGGCCATGATGATTATTCCGTGGGCGAATCACAACGGTAAATCTGATGATGCGTGGCCCTGCACCTGCCAGACGCCACCTTGCACGGAAGCGACGACCTAGAACGCCACCACGTTCCCTGTAAGCATAGGGGGGGAATCGCCAATTGCACCATAGGTATCTCACCAAGGGCGCCATGGCCACTTGGGGCTCAAAACCGTAACTCCGGGCAGGGGGGCGGGGAGAGGGTGCCTGGGAGGACCTCTGGAAGCCACCCGATCAAACGTTAGCATAACTGAATTCGGTGGGACCTGGTTTAATGATGTGTACCGGGGAACGCCCCCCCGCCCCATGCCGCTAACCGGAACTGCCGCCAACCGAAGAACACCAGCTACGGCAGACCTGGTTGAGTGAAACTGGTTCATTTGTGTAGCTTCGGGGCCAAATCACTAATCGACCAGCTCCCCTTAACCAGGGTCCTGCCTATATTCGGCAAAGCAGCAATTTGCACAAACACAACTCTTGGAGGTCCGCGCGGCCGTCTCGGATCGGCGCTGGGCGCCCCTCCCTGGTGCGCCTCTTGCGCGAGGGGCGGCGCCGAAAGCGCCGCTGGGGGGCTCCAGCACCGATCCGAGAAATCCGCGCGGAGCTCCGAAAGTTTACGTCTATGCAACTGTGTCGGGGACGCGTGAGACTCGGGCTCGGGGGACTCGGGCTGGCCTGTCAGGGCCATCGTGAAAATGACGAGACCCCAGTCTGAAACTTGACGCGAGCTCCCGCTGCAAACGTCCCAGGAAAACCGGACCATCCAAATCCGCGCTCGTCAAAAAGCGCAGGCAGGCCCGAGGTCCAGCGTACCCGAGTCTCACGTTTCCCCGAGAGGAGGCTCCAGCAGGCCGCAGGAGGCATCAGGACCTCCCTATACCTCCCCCTCCCGCGGGGGCGGGCGGGTCTCCTGAAGCCTCTGGACCGCCGACGACTGCAGGGCGCGCTCGTGCTGCTCGCGGCGCAACCGCTCGCCCGCCATCCTTTCGGAGGGCGGAGGCCGCCCTCGATGGATCGACAGATCGAGGATCGCCCCTACCCACCGCCCTCCTCTACCTACTCATCCCTCCTCGTCCTCCTCCTCCTCCTCCTCCTCCTCCTCCTCCTCCTCCTCGTCCTCCTCCTCCTCCTCCTCCTCCTCCGCCTCCTCCTCCTCCTCCGCCTCCTCCTCCTCCTCCTCCTCCTCCTCCCTTTTCCTCCTCCCTTTTCCTCCGCCTCCTCCCCCTCATCCTCCTCCTGCCGCCTCCTCCACCTCCACAATTACACAATATGGAGACTACTCTCCTCTCCCCCTGGACATGTCCTGAAAGTGGCCGTCCCCCTCCGCGTACTGTTTGGTACACACACACACACAAACAGTTACACGCGAGTTAACATTTCACTCGTGCTTTCTCAGTTCGACCCCTCCGCATCATGTTGTTTGTGACAGACAAGATTTGTGCGAACTTGTTTTCTTCTCATGGTTGTGCCACCATCCGATGTGCCTAGTTTTTCACGAATCGTGCTCTGGCTACAGCGTGGGCATCAGTTTAGGATCTGCGCTTTGCTCCCATCGTTCAGAATGACGCTCTCGCCCCTGCGTGGGCCAGTCTTCTGGATCCCACAGGTCTCGCAGGCCTAGCAGGCACCACAGGCCCTACAAGACCCACACGTGTCGCAGGTCGCCCCACGGGTACCGCAGGTCCCACCAGTCTGACAAGGCTCCACAGGTCCCACAGATCCAACATGTCGCTGCACCGATTTTGCAGACGTGCTGCAGCGAATTGTTGCGTGGATTTCTGTCCATACAAGAGACCCCGAAATGGCGAGCGAAAAACGGAGTGCATTCCACGTGTTGTCTGTTAGTCTTCATTCTTGACCCAAAACAAATCCAGACGAAATTCGCTTCGAAATCCGGAACGAAATTCTCCAGGACACTCCGGGCCAATCCGATCGTTTTCCGAACAAAATCCGCTCTGCGATGTTGGCGCCATGACACAGGTCCAACAGGTCCGACAGGTCCCGCAGGTTCCAGAGGTGTCGCCTACCAAGAGTCCACGGGGCCCACGAATCCCGCAGGTCCCGCGAGTGCCGCGGGTCCCCCACGGGTCTCGCGGGTCTTCAGCAGTTCCCAAGTCCCCAACAGTTCCCACGGGTCCTAGAGGTCCCACAGCTCCCACAGGTCCTACAGGTCCCACAGGTGTCTCGGGTCTCACAGGCCCCACTGGCCACAGAGGTCATCCAGGTCGCCCAGGTCCCACAAGTTTCCCTGTTCCGACTGCGCATGACAGACACACTGGGGTCCGTCGTGAAGTCCAGGTCGGCTGTGACACGTCCGCGGATGAAGAAAAAAGCACGGCAACGGGAAGGGATGGGAGGGATACGATGTCAGATGTGGCTCGAACGCACCTAGTTTTTCCTCCTCCTCCTCCTCCTCCTCCTCCTCCTCCTCCTCCTCCTCCTCCTCTGCTCTGCCTCCTTCTCCTCCTCCTCCTCTTCCTCCTCCTCCATCCTCGTCGTTATCCTCCTCCTCCAATCACCTGGAGCTCGCCGGCCTTGCCCTATCTGCAGGTGACTTCCCCGATCGACGCCCAAAGAACTCCCACGGCGAGACGCCCCCTCGATGGAGGATCAAACATCGGAAATCGAGGGCCGATGTCTTGGCCGTCTCGTAAGTCATCCCAGAACGCCCTCGCTGCCACGAACGGGTTCCCCTGGAGATGCTGGCCTGAGCACGTTTCAGACAAGCACCCCTCGTCATCGCTCGGGCGTCCAGTCCCCGTGCACGTGTCGGCCTCGTGCGCGTGTTCGTTCGCAGGATGACCCAAAATGCTCCTCGATGGCCCTGGCGGCTGACCCCAAAGCGTTCCTCAAAAAGTGGTCCTCGAGGACCCTCCCCAGCGATGCCCAGGCCCAGGCCCAGAGGCACCACGAGCACACCGCGGGAGGCGGCCGGAGCTCTTCCTCGGCCTGGCCCCCCGGCGCCGCGCTCTCCGGGCCCCCGGGGGCCACAAGACGCTGCCCAGTGCGAAGGGAGAGCCTACGCCGACGCAAACGATGCAAGCTCCAGGTGCCCACTGGATGCTCCTCGAGAGTTTTTGGGGACAAAAATATTCGGTTGAGACTCTCGACATTCAGAGCACATACGGAGGTCTCGTGTACAGGAACAGCTCCGCAGCAGCAGAAGCACTCGTTCCCATGCTTGAGAAGTCTGAGATCGGTCTGCTGCTCGAGCTATCGCCATCAACACTACTCGCACTCTGCAACAAACGTGTGTTAACGCCAACGGGGGCGGTCCGGCCCTGGCCCCGGCCGCTGCCGCGACCTCGCTGCCCCGGCTGGCCGCCCTGGCCCGCTCACCGCGGAAGCCTTCCGCTTCTGAGCGCCTCTCTCCTCCTCCCCCCGCGCGGCCGCCCCCCCTCCCCCCCCTATGTCTTGCACGCGGACAGTTTGCCGATCGGTGACCCCGGTTAGCTGGACGCTGGTGCGGACCGCCACCGCCGCGCCGCCGACGAAAAAAAATGTTAACGCCAACGTGTCCCTGTCCACCGAGGTCCTCCAATGCGACACAGGCGGCGCAGCGAGGGCGGGCACGGGCTGCAAGCTATCGGCGGAACAGAACTGGGTAAACACACGCTTGGGATAACACATGTCCTGAGGATCATCGGCCCACGGAACGAAGAAAATGGAAGGTCGGAAGTGTGGGGAGGGAGGGGGAGAAGGCGGATGGAGGGAGGGGTTGGATTTCATCGCCTCTTGCTTATTGGGGTCGCCGCTGGACGGGGCCTTCCTCCACCTTTTCCTCCCGTGGAAAGGGCTTTGTGTTTCGCCAGAGACTTCCTCACCATTCATCATCCTGAAGCTTGCACTTCGCAACGGTGTCACTGATGATGAAGGGCCCACCGCTCTCAAGATGGAGCTCTCGCCTTAGCGCCGCGCACATTCTTTGTAAACAATCGCACTAGCTTCACGGATGTAGAAGGGGAGAGAGAGAGAGAGAGTCAGAGAGTGCGGGGACAGCAAGCGACCACAACAACATCGAAGACTCACCCTGGGGCATACATTGCACATGCGAAAAAGTGTCGGAACACCGAAACCAGTTTCGTTCTGGTTGTGGTCGATGTGGCGTCCCAGGACGGCCAAATCGACCGCAACCACAACCAAAGTGCTCATGTCGAGGTCGGTGGGTTCTCCCCCGAAGGCTCCGCCCGAAAAATCCACTTCGTTGTGGTTGTGGTTCTTGGCTGCGCCCGGAGTGGCAGAAAGAAAGAAAGAGTCCCTCGCGGCAGGAACCTACGTGGGTGCAGCGGGTGGGCGTCGGGGCGCCGGCAAAGGATGGACTGGGCGCTCAGGAGCTGTAGTCGGGCCGAAGCTGGAGTCGGAAGGGACAGGAGCGAGCTCCGGAATCAAGGAAATTGGAGACGGAGTCGGCAAGGCGGGGCCCAAAGTCGGAAATCGATAAGACTGTGCGCTGGAGTCGGGGAAGTGGGTGCCGGAGTCGGAACTGGAGTCGGAGAGGTGGGAGCCGGAGCCGGAGAGGCAGGAGCCAGAGTCGGAGAGATGGAAACGGGCGTGGGGAGCCAGAATCGGAGAGACTGGAGACGGAGTCGGAGAGACAAACGAGCGCGGGAGCCGGAGTCGGAAAGGTACGAGCGTGAGTTAGAGAGATGAAAAGGTCGGGAGCAGCCAAGAGGGGGTGTCCAAGAGGGGGGCGTGCACATCATGACCAGCGGCACGTGCGCGGCCCAGGGGGGGGGGGCAGGGGACGTGTTGAGATAAGAAGAGGCGCCATGAAATCTGGGGAAATATCATGGCCCACGCCATGATATCCACCCCCCCTGGTCATCACCCCCCTCTCTGCCGCCCCCGAAAAGGGGCGTGGGGAGCCAGAGGCGCAAAGGCAGGAGCCGGAGTCGGAGAGGCAAGCACTGGGCTGCAGAGTCGGGGAAGCGGGAAGCGTGTCGGCAGACTGGCGTGGATTCCGCGGGTGCCACGCCGGAGTCGGAAGCAAGGAGTCTACGATCGACAAGGCTTCCTGAGAATCTCACGACCCAGGCATCCCTGGGAGTGCCAAGGAGTCCCGAGGCCCAGGCATCCATAGGGATCTCTTCGGAAGAACCCCATCGGAATCCCTGGGAGCCCAACATGGTCTGCAACAGTTTCAGGGACGGAGGGCGGCTCTGCTTTCACGCACGCGGCTCTCGCCGCAGCGCTGCGCGCACTCGTCTTCCAATCCCGCGGCAGTTTTACGAGTGGGAGGGGGTCGCTGAGTGTGGCTCTTCTCCCCGGCACCGCGCACAGCCATCCTAAACATTTGCACGAGCTTCACGGACGGAGGGTGGCTCCTTACCAAAATGTGGCTCTCCCCCTAGCCAGGCGCACACTCGTCTTTAACAAGTCGCGACAGCTTCACGGATTACGGGGGGGGTCATGTTCAAAATGCGGCTCTCGCATTAGCACCACGCGTTTTCGCCCAAACAAATTGCATGAGTTTGACGGATGTAGGGGGAGGGCGGGCTCGCTTTCAAAATGTGGGTCTCGCCTTAGCGCCAAACACATTCGCCTCAAAAGTTTGCAACAACAACATCAAGGATTGGCGAGGCCGTTTCCAAAATGTGATTATCGCTGCAGCGCCTCGCACATTCGTTCTAAAAGTTCGCACTGGCTGAACGGATGGAGGGCAATTCGTTTTCATGCTGTGGTTCTCGCCTTAGCGCCCCGAACATTCATCTCAAAACCTTGCAACGACTACTGGGACTGAGCATTGGCCGTGTTCAAGATGGGACTCTCGCCCCAACGCCGCGCAAATTCGTTTTAATGCTAAGTGTAGCAGGACGGAGCACTGTTCTTTTTCAAGGTGGGGTTCTCGCCTAAGACTTCGCTAAGATTAGAGACCCGAGACTTCAGCGCACAGGGATCCATGGCAGCTCTGTTCCAAAATGCTGCTGTCGTTCGAAACTTCCTCGAAGTTCATGACCACAACGATAAACTTGTGCAACAGTTACACGGATAGGGGGATCGGTCCTTCTGCGAAAAGAAATATCTCTGGAGACCCCGTCGAATTGTATGTTTCGTATTCCCGACTACGCGCCAGAAAGACGCCATGCAATTCCTGTTCAAAGCGGGGCCCTCGCCAAAATTGGCACGCCACACTGTGCTGGTGTTTCATGGGGGTGATTCTTGTAGTGAAATGGAGGACTTGTAGGGGCGTGTGAGGAGGGGACCTGGGACGGCAGGGTGTATTGCAGCATCGCTTATGCATATTCAAATCCTCCTCCTCCTCCTCCTCCTCCTCCTCCTCCTCTTCCTCCTCCTCCTCCTCCTCCTTCTCCTCCTCCTCCTATATAATCCTCCTCCTCGTCCTCCTCCTCCTCTTCAAGCCCCCGGGCGGGCAGCCGGTTGGTGTGGGCGGCACCTCCCGGCGTCCGGGGGAACTGAAACCCGCTGAGTCGCCGCCTGTATGGGGGCTGCGCCACTGCCGTGGGCGCAGTGGGGGCACCGACCCCGGTCTTCGGGCCTAAACGGTAAACCAGTTTCGGCTACGGCGCCAGTTCGGAGCCCCTCCACTGTCTTGGCCCGGCGACTCCCCGGTCGCGCCAGGGTGTGGAGGTAGGGGTCTGGCGTCGGCCAGGCTCATGGGGAGTCCTAGTCTGTCCCCCTTGGGCAAGGGGACTGGGGGGAGCAGGCCAGGGCACCCGCCCCGAGACTCGCACCAGGTGCCCCGCCTGGTGGCGAGAGGTGTCCTGTGTTCCCTGCCAGTGCCTGGAGTGCCTGGCGGGTGGCAGGGGGGCCCCCTCCCCTCGGGGAGGGGTTGGTCCTGGAGGCGTAGGACGTGTACGTGCACCTCTGAGACCCACGCCCCTCCTAGGCCGTTCGAGGTTTAGAGCGACCGAGGTGCACTAAGTCACTCACAACACACTTCACATGCCCAGGCAGTGTTGGGTTTTTAAACAATATCACCACGTGATGGCGGAAATTCTGGAAATCCTCCTCCTCTTCATCCTCCTTGTCCTTCTCACACTACCCCCTCCCTCCTCCATCCCACCATCCCTCCCTCCGCCCACCCCACTCGAGTCCTGCTGCTCCTCCTCCTTCTCCTCCTCCTCCTCCTCCTCCTCCTCCTCCTCCTCCTCCTCCTCCTCCTCCTCCTCCTCCTCCTCCTCCTCCTCCTCCTCCTCCTCCTCCTCCTCCTCCTCCTCCTCCAACTCCTCCAACTCCTCCAGCTCCTCCTCCGCATCCTCATCCGCATCCTCCTCCTAGCCATCAGCAGCATCATCCTCTCTCCTCCTCCTCCTCCTCCTCCTCCTCCTCATCATCATCATCATCATCATCATCATCATCATCATCATCATCACATTATCATCATCATCATCATCATCATCAGCAGCAGCAGCATCATCATCATCATCATCATCATCATCATCATCACATCATCATCATCATCATCATCATCATCATCATCATCATCATCATCATCATCAGCATCAGCATCAGCATCAGCATCAGCATCAGCATCATCAGCATCATCAGCATCATCATCATCACCATCACCACCACCACCACCACCACCACCACCATCATCATCATCATCATCATCATCATCATCATCATCATCATCATCATCATCATCATATGAATCATCATCACCACCACCACCGTCAGCATCATCATTATTATCAGCATCACCACCATCAGCATCAGCACCACCACCGCCATCGTCATTATCATCATCATCAGCAGCAGCATCAACATCATCATCATCAGCATCATCATCACCATCACAATCACCATCGTCATCACCATCACCATCACCATCATCATCCTGCTGCCCCTCATCCTCGTCCTGTTCATGCTCCTACTCCTCCACTCCTGCTACTCGACTCATTGCTGCATGGTGAGTGCTCCATCCCTTCCTCGTCCTCAACCATCCTTTCGACAGCACCCTCCCTCTGTGGCAATTATCTAGGTCACTCTTTAAAGCAACTAGAACATGGGATTGGAAGCAACATCTCAATGCATGTTACACACATCGGCCTCACAGGATAGCAACACCTCCCGAACTGTCCCTCGCCTGGCTGAGAACACAATCAAGGGGTTACAGGCCCTCTACCCCGCACTGCGGCGGAGTGACGCAGCGATATGCCGTTAATTGTGCCTGGCAGCGCACGTGACCTAGACGACCGCGGGGACGCATAGCTACGCACAGCTGAGATGAAGTACGAAGTGCTCGTTCCCCATCCCTCTCGAACGTAGCAGGGAGAGTGCACTGCGGCGGGGCCGAAACCAACTGCATGCAGCAGATGTCCTATCCCCCCCTGTTCCAAACCCCCTCGTGCGTCGGACCAGATTTCATGGGCACGGAGGTTGGCATCGAACGGGATCAGCTGCGCCAGGGCCGGGCCGCGCATGACCGCTGGCGACTGCGTCCTGCAAGCACCCGGCCGCGCATGACCGCTGGCAAACCAGAACCGAATCGGACCGAACCCGCCGAGATGGACATCGAGCCCGATCGGTCGGATTGAGACTGACCCCGAGACGACGGCGGCAGCGACGCGAACTCCTCACGTCGAGCCGCAGGTGGGCGTTGTCCATCAGGACTTGCTGCAGCAGCGACTCCCGCTCGGCCTCCTGGACGTCGGTGGCGTCGGCCCTCCCAGCAAGCCCGCGGGCGAATTGAGAATCGAGGTTCGAGGACCCAGCACCGATGGAAGATCCAGGGAGCAGGACAAGGAGATCGGAGGGCCGTTGATCGAGGTCTTGGAACTCTGTGGTACCTCGCTGGGGACCTGGGACGCCACGGGTCGCCACCGCTGACTCCCCCTGGAGCTTCAACCAGACCGCACGTTGGCAAAGGCTCAGGGGGGCGGCTTTGGCACGGTGGAAGCGGGTGCTGAAGGAAAGGGTCCTGGCCCCCAGGCCTTCTACCCGGGACCCGACCCGCTCTTCAGCCTGAATATTTGTTCGCTGGTGAATCCAGGAAACGCGAAAAGGTCCCCGTTTCCAACAGGACCCCTTCATAAGACGAAGCCAGGACGAGAACACCTTCGGACGAGGATTCATCAAGAATCTCTCAGAAGCGGCAGCTCTGGAGCGTTTATCGGGCGCCGCGGCTTTCCGCGAGAACGCTCTGAAACCGTTCCGAACGCCCTGAAATGGGTTTATCCTTGTCCGGGCCCCGTCATGACGACGACGACGACGACGACGACGACGACAACGACGACAACGACGACGACGACAAAGACAAAGACGGTGACGACAAGGACGGCGGAAAAAACGACGACAACGCCGACGACGACGACGACGACGCCGACGCCGACGCCTACGCCGACGCAGACGCCGACGCCGACGCCGACGCCGACGCCGACGCCGACGACGACGACGACGACAACGACGACGACGGAGACGACGCCGACGACAGCACAGCGTCCGCAGCGGCGGGCGCGCACCCCGCGCCAGCGCCCGCGCCCGGCGCCGATTCCGATAGAATCCCAAAACGGCTCGATCTAGATCTACACAGAATTCCCGATCCAGCTCCATATGCGTCCTACAAGGACTGTTCCCACCAGAGAGCCCTACTGGGGCTGAATCAATCTAGCCCCAATAGCAGACCACTACGGTTGCATCCAGCTCTCATGGAATCTTGCAACAGGTTCGACCCAGGTCAAACGGAATTCTGCTACTAGGGATGGAAATGACTTCAATTGAACCCTACAAAAGCTCGGTCAAGGCTGGATCCACTCCTAATCGACTCGTACAAAAGGCTCGATCAAGTGCCGAGCGAATCCTAGTAGGGATCGATCCACCTCTGGTAGAATCATGCTACCAGTTATGTCAGGATCTAGCCCCCCAATACATTCCCTCGGCGCAGCGCCGCGCCAGCAAACGGCACAGACGTCTTGGCGAGGCGGACAGGACGGTCGGGCTCGCGGCGTAGGGCGACCCCATGGTGCACCCCGCACGCCGACCCGACCCCGTAGCCTGGCCGCCTGCGCTGCACTACAGATTCCCCCGACAAGCCCCCCCCCGAAAGCCTAGAGGCCAAAGGGTGGTGAGGGTGGGGAAAAGGAAGCCCGCAGGCGCGTGGGCCCCCGCAGGGGCCCGCCTGCCATGGGACACACAAACTGCGGCCGCAAGCGCGTGGGCCCTTCGGGGACCCGCCTGCTCCTGGCTCTCGCAGGCCCCTGGGCCCCCGCAAGGACCCGCCTGCCCTTCGGCCGTCACTTGCTATCCCGCCACGGACCCGGGCGGACGGCGGGCACGGGCCGCCACCGAGAGGCACGGCGGCCCACCAGAGACTCGAAACCGACAGACGGGGCAGCAGCGCTACAGCCCTGGCGAGCAGCGCGAGGCTCGGGGAAGCGAAAGAGCGACTGAGTCAAGAGCGCCAGGCTCGGAGGAGCAAAAGAGCGATTGAGTGACAGAGGTACGGAGGTAGTCGAACGCGGGGCGGCACCAGGAATTTATAGGCCTGCCAAACCTCCGATTTACAAGGTATATAAATTCCCTCCGCGCAGCGCCGCGCCAGCAAAGGGCACAGACGTCTTGGCGCGGTGGACAGGACGGTCGGGCTCGCGGCGCAGGGCGACCCCATGGCGCACCCCGCACGCCGACCCAATGCACGCCCAGCCGCAGCCCGCCGTGCCAGCCAGCGCACACTCCCCCCCTAGCTATGCCCCGCTCTGCCCCTCGCACCCCAACGCATGCGTCGTGCGCACGGCATCGCTGAGGCCCTCTCGCTTGGAGTCGGAGCTGTCCGACACCCTCTATCCAGGCTCCTCCCCCTCGGAGCTGTCCGAGTGCCCAATGGCCTCCTCCGCCGCCAGAGTCTCGCTCATGGCCCTGGCTGACGGGCACGCCCAGGCTGCCACGCTGCGCTACGAAAGGCCCCATCGACCGCGCCGTGGGGCAGCGATGCCTCGCCGCCCCAGCGCTCGTCAATTCCTGCGCGATTTCCCCCCCCGCGGTGATCGCGATCGACCCCCTCGCGGGTTCACGCGGGCCAGCGCGCGCGTCGTGCCTCGCTATTCCCCGGCAAATTCCCCTGCAACGCCGCAACGCGCGCGCGCGCGCGCGCGACCGCTACATGGGCGGCACTTGTGGGCCTCGCCAACGCATGTTACCCCGACCGCGCCCGGGTGCAGCGATGCCTCGCTATCCCAGCGCTCGTCAATTTCTGCGCCATCTCCCCGCACTGCCTGCCCCCCCCCCCCCCCCCCGCGGCGGTCGCGATCGACCCCCTCGCGGGTTCGCGCGGGGCAATCGCGCGCGTCGTGCCTCGCTTTCCCACGGCAAATGATTCCATGCAACAGCAATCGGCGTGACGGTGCGCCGTCACTTCTTGCGGCCGCTCTTCTTCCATTCGCTCCACGGCGCCCACTTGCTCTCACCGCTCTTGGCGGCCGGCTGCTTGCCGGCGCCGGAGCCGCGCGCAGGCGCGGAAGACCCCCGGCCGCCGCGAGGCGAGCGGGACCTCGCCGCGCCCCACGCCGTGGGCGGCCTCTTCGGGCTCTGGGCCGGCCTGCACACGGTGGATCGCGGCCACGCAGACGGAAACATCCCGTGGACAATCCTGTTGTCAGGCGCACGACTCTCCGCCCCCTGGCCCGCCCTGGCACGCGGCGCATCGCCGCGCGGCCTCCGGCGGACTGGGCGGCACACCCCGCCTCGGCTTCGCCGCTGCCACTCCCTTAGACTTGGACTCCGCCTTGGCCTTGGCGGCCTTGAGCACGCCCCAGTCCAGGGTGCACAGCAGCGCATCAACGCCGCCCGCGCCCTGCTCCAGCGCGCGCGCGGCCTGCGAAAGGGGGGGTTCGCATCGCGCCCGGCGCGCGCCCCCCCTGCACAACGCCCCCGCCTTCTGCCGCATGGCCATATCATAGAAATACGCGGTGCGGGTCCCACCGTGCTCCCCCGCAATCCGGCTCAGCTGCCATTGGTAGGCCAGCAGCACCGCCGGCGTGAAAACCTGGGTGATGATGCAGCGCATTCCCCATTCAAGCAGGCGCGCCTGCCCGCGAACGGTACTGCGCCGAAACTTGCCCCCCGCGCGCACCGCGCGGTTGCGCGGGCCCCTTCGCGCCCTGGAAATCGGCATATGACGCGAAGTCCACGCCAGTCGTCGCCATGGCCGCCCGCTTGGCCGCCGCGACCTCTTTGGCGCGGCTCTCTGCCGATCCCCCGGGCAAGACCTCGGAACGCCGCGCGACCGCGCCCCCGCGCGCGCAAGAAAAACGGGGCATCGCGCAGCAGCATGTCCAGATCTGGCGCACGGCTCCACGGCGGCTTGAAATGCAACTGCAAGTCTTCACCCTCGGCGCTCCCCAAATAACGCCGGCCCTTGGCTGCCGCGGCCTGCGCCGCGCACGCCGCGCCGCGCTCGCCCGGCGCGCGCTCTGCCGGCGGCGCCTTCGCGAGCTGTTCGAAACGAAGCATGGCCTCCTCCGTCGGGAGGGCCTCGCCTGGAAAAGGCGCCAAGCCCGACCTCCCTGATCCGCTCCTGCGCGCGCCGCGCCGCGCCCCCCCCCCCCCCCCCTCTGGCTCGCCACCGCGGGACCAAGGACCTGGGGCGTAAAGGACAAATCATCGGTCTTCTTCTCCTTATCCAACTGCTCACGCGACGCCTGCACATATTCTGCCATCGCGCCCATCGCCTTCGCGAGGTCGCCGCTGCTCGCGGGGCCTGGGGCAACGCCCTGCGCAACGCCCCCCCGAAGCCACGGGCCCCACGGCGGATCGCAAGACATGCGCGAGTCCTGCGCGCGGCCCTGAACGCGTAGGGCCAGGGCACTGTGGGCAGGAGTTACCTTGAACTCCGCCCAGCCCTTGCCCTCCCCGGCGCTGAACGGCTGCGAGTTGGCCGCCGGTAATCCCGCGGCCAACGCCTCCATGATAGAGGCGTCCGCGAAATCTTCGGCGAGCGCCGATCCGACGCATTCCGCCATCATTCTCGCAGTCGCCACGCAATGCATCACGGACCTTTCGCGTGGCTCCGCGCCCACCGCCTGCGCAAAATGGACCCATTTCACCTGCGACACAGATCGGCGCAAACAGCCCGCTCACCCCCCTCGCACGCCGCGCGCCTGGGACCGGCTACCCGCTCTGGCGAAGGCGGATTCCCCTACGGCTTCAAGCAGAGCAAGGACATCGCGGTCGGAATAACCGCGCGTCATGGCGGCGCGCGCCCGCTGCTTGCCCGACGCGCGTTTCGCTGCAAGGCCGAGACGCTCCACGCACGCCGCGCAGGCGCCCCCCATCCTTGGGCGCGCCCAACGGCCCGCACGCAGCCCGAGCTCCGTCCACGGCCACCGTTACATGGCACGACGCTCCCAGCCCGCGCGCGAGCGCAGCCACGGATGCAGCCCGAGCCACGCAGACAGCCAGCCCCCAACGCGCCCGGCAACGCACGCAGCGCACGCGCGCACGCCCCGCGCACCCCCTGCCCGCGCACCCAGCAGGTCCTGGCCTGCGCCCTGTGGGCAATCACCGCAGCTGGGCTTGGCCCGCGGCCCCTGGGTCAAATGGGAAGGGGACCGTCGCCGCGAGTTCACCGTCCGAGGGCCCGCGTCGGTAATTCGAACGGGGCCGGCTGCGGCCGCGACCGTCCGCTCGCGGGCGCGGGAACTGGCGCGCCAGATCGCCGAAGCACGCCTG